GTCGACTTTTGGGGTACCTCCCAGATTTACCATACGTGATCTCTTGCGTGAACCCCGTGCTGATGATGACTATATCCTGCTGTCCAGGCACACTCTATCGCCGAGGACCCCTCGCAAGCCAAACTGCAAAGGTGGGTTTCACGATAGAGGACTGTCTCTGTTTTCTCACGATAATCCTGTCGTTGTCTAAGGGGCCCCGTGTGTGGCCGGGAACACCGGCATAATAGCCAATGGTTAACAATTTTTGGTGCAAATCTGGGAACCTAAGTCAAGAGGACATGCAAGAAAATTTTTGGAAAAGCACCCTCCCGAACAAACAAAGCCTAGAGCATTCCTAACATCTAGTCGAAAACGTAACAAAATCTAAGTGCGGCCAAGAGTGTTCCTAGGAAAAATCAAATGCATTGGCCGGGAACTAGCAAAAGGTTACCAATTTTGAGGGGAAATCTGGGAACCTAAAAAAAAGAGGAAGCGCTAGAAAATTCTTGGAAAAGCATCCAGCCGACAACGTAACAAAATCTAGACAAAGCCTAGGGCATTCCTAGGAAAATGCTAGAAAAGCCTTTGAAAGTTCCATAGGTTAGCAAAAGGTTACCAATTTTTGGGAGAAATCTGGGAACCTAAAACCAAGAGGAAGCGCTAGAAAATGCTTGGAAAAGCATCCAGCCGAAAACATAACAAAATCTAGACAAAGCCTACAGCATTCCTAGGAAAATGCAAGAAAAGCCTTTGAAAATCTCATAAACCAACAGAAAACGTGACAAAATCTACGAAAAAGCAAGGGCATTGGCCGGGACCATGCCGCGACCAGCCCGGGATTCGAGCCCAGGACCATTTTGGACCGTGCTTATTTTCCCGCGCGGGTCGAGAGGGTGCCCCAAGATGTAAATCAATTGGGATGGCAGAATCCACGTCGCAATCAGGTAGCTTTCCTGGAGAATTCCGGGCCGGATTTCGTCACTGCAACAAGGGTCCGGAGGGGTAGGGGAGGTAAGGTCTAGGTCAAAGGCTAAGGACTAGGTCTAAGGCTAAGGATAAGGCTAAGGCTAAGGCTTAAGGCCAAGGCTAACATCGACAGTCACGCCTCACCCCACGGTGTGGGGTCGGCGGATCTTGCTATTGGGGTCTCCAGCTGGGCTAATTTGATTTAATTTGAGACAGTTTCTTTCCGACGTTACCTCTGAAGTCCAGAATGGAGGGCACAAAATGTGTGAACACCTGCTTCTGGCTCCCTATGACTCCAACGTAGAGGGCAAACGCATGCCGTCTGGTTGAGATCCGACTAAGGTGGCCAAGACCGAAAGGCTGCGAGCACAGCTCAGCGAAGCCTACGAACTCTCAGCCCAGGTTGGAACCGTCTGGCCTGGCGAATGGAGGGATACCCGACTTGCTGAGGAAACAGTATCCTAAACGGGGTGATTCTTGCGGAAGAAGACTTGATGACAAGGGGACCAGAGATGAAACCCTTGCTTTCTGTACTCTTAGGCATGCTGATAGCATCCTTTCATAGATTGAGGAGGGCAAAGGACATCCACGTGAGGCTTCAGCCGCAAGTAGACTCATGGAGAGATTCACCTGTTTCGATACTTGCAGGTGGCCTTGAGAGCAGCTGAACAGGCGGAGGTGCGAGTCTGGGATTCGCGAGGTGGTGGGAGGTAGTGAGTGGCGAGCTTCAATCAACCAAAGTGAAAGGAGGATCTAATGAACGATGTGACAGGCCCAGCTTCACCCTTCCAAGATATGCCGAATGAACTAAGGATGTTTTTAAGACGCAGATCGCTACGCTACATGGATCCACATGGAATCATGAATGATCATGTATTAATGATCGTTCCATCTCACTGTGATGTGGGAGTCCTCTCGGCCCTGTCCGGTGATCTCCAAGGCCGCCGTGGCGTCGGTCTCCAAGAAGCGCGCAAGGCGCCGTGGCCAAAGACTTGAAGAACACCTAGTAGCTTCTTGCTCCTAGTAGTAATGCCAGGAGCTACTAGTAGCGATGCCCTTTGTTACTAGTAGCTTCTTGCTCCTAGGTCTTCTAGTCATGTTCCCTGGTTTTTGCAGAGTGGTGATTTGGCTGACTCAAGCTTTCCTCGTCCTCACACAGAAAGTGCTGCTAAGATGCTCCTTTTTTCAATCCACAAAGCCAACCCTGAAAATGCAGGCGTACAATGCGGCAGATCAGAGCCTTTCGAGCCCCTCTCTTGAAACAACCCACGACTTGCACAGGTCATCGTCATCCTCCGTCGGAAGCTGAGCAGCGAAGGTTGAACCCCCTAAACTGTTTCCGCATTTGTGCACCTACCCCGATTGGTTCTGACCCCACAAAGTAAGTTGTTTCCTTCAAACCTTTCTTTTGGTGCAAGTTTTCTTGCTTTTTAACTTTTTTTTGCTCAGCTCCTATCTTGAGATACACCAGCGGACCCAGCAACCTGAGGTGATGGGTGTGTGTCACACTTTCACACTGATGGAAGGGTACCCATTTGCAGCTTCCTGTGTCCCTAGGACAGCTCGAATTCCTGAAGCACCGGGCTTTCGAAGGGCTGGTCAAAAAGAGGCATGGTCATGGTGCTTTCGGCATGAGTCGTGTCCCTTATATATATATATATATATACATGTGCATAACTATTATAATATCTTCGGTGTTTTATTCAAGAAATCCACTCAGAAGATCTCAATTCAGCCGCTCAACTGGTCCAATAGCAGCTGTTCTCTGAAACGACATTCATGGCACATTCTGCCAACCATGGGCACATGGCCATCGCTTCTAGGTTGGAGGCCATCGCTAGTAGGTTGGAGGCGGTCGAGTTTGCATCATTCCACACATCTTTTTTGGCTGAAGGAGGCGGACGTCCGAGTTCGCCACATGCAAGGGCCAATGGGGTTCCATGTCTCCAGTCAATTCATCCGGAAAAAAGAGAACCAAAAGAACCACCACCCAGTGCAACCAACCAGTCAAGATAGAACCAGGATCAAGCACTGAAATCCAAAGGTACATAGTTTAGTTACATAGTTTGTGGAGAATCAACTCAGCCACTGAGAATCAGCTCTATCTTTCTCTCGTTGAACTTCCAGATCTTATACGTTCGGGGGTCTCTCGGGCGCGCGTTGGCCGGTGGCCGCCGCGGCCATGGCACCCACGGCGCCATGGGCCCGGGGCTCAAGAGGAATCGAGTGGGTTCATGACCACTCCAACTGCAGAATGCCCTTGTTACGTTTGTAGCCTCTTGCTACTAGTAGCGATACACCTGTTGCTAATAGCAATGCCCTTGTTACTAGATATATTTTCAATTTGAAGTTACTGGAATAGAGGACTAAGACCGGCCGCTGTTGATGTTTTTGGTCGATCCTCAGGGACAAACATGTGAGATGAAACTGACCAGATTGAAATTTAATCTTGCTCCTTCCCCACCTCCAGAGCAATTGTTTCGTCATGCGTCCATTCGTCTCAAATCCGGGGCAGCTGAGGGCTTATGCAATGCTGTGTGCGCTGGTTTTGACACAACAAACAAAACACATATAGATCGGTTTGACAATGGATCCCTCAAAAATACCCATACAGGTTGGTTGAGGAACGCTGACGTCTCCTCTTGCTGGCTTTGCCTTGTTTCCTTCCAACAGCCTTGTTCCCTTAGGAAAGCCCAACACGAAGTCTGGGGACCTCTAGGGCCTAGGGACATCTCCGGAGATGGTCGACCCGACCTGATGGTCGCAGGAGAATCGGTGCAACTCCTTGGAATCCACTCTTTGGGTCATTGGTCATTGTGCTTCATTGTATGGCTCAGAATGAGGAGACGGCAATGTCTAAAAATCTCGAAATATGAGTTCATCGACTTTTTCATCGACTTGGCACCATTTTGGGCCCAAAGAAACCGCGGGGACACCGTGAGCTTTGCGCGCGGCGTGCTTTTTGCGTTTGAGGTCTTGTGGGTGCTACTGTTCAGCTCTCCCAGATTGGCGGCATCGTTCATTGAGGAAAGCCTTTTCGAGTCATCCAATTGATATGGATCTGTCCAGAAACTATAGTTGTCCATTGTGATCGATGTTTCTTTAATTTCGTGGTGGCACACGTTGTTTCGGATGAGTCGTCAAAGCAACAGCTTCAGGGGCTGAGGTTCTTCTCCCTCTCCAAGTACTGTATATTGTGCGGAGGCGTTTACAGTACACCGATTTTTGAGCCGTCCACATGAAAGCCTCTACAAGTTTGAGGTCCCGTCAGAAATGGAGGCCGCCCATGTCAAGGGAAGAGCTTGGGAGTGGGATGCTTGAGAGAGCATTTGATGGTTTCAGCATCGCTAGCAGGATTCAAGGCACCTATACATTTGAAAGACTGTATCAATCTGTATCACCCACCGAAATTCGCTATGCATTCTGCAACGTAGCCTTCCTTTTGTTGGGAGTTTTGGAGGGCCCTTTTCCTCTAAGAGGTGGATCGGTGGTGACCCGAAGGGCTTGGATCCATGCACCGGAGCCGCCGTGGGCCACCGGCGTTGCGCTTCGGACCGCTTCGGTGCGAGGAGATTTTCCAACAGTTTGCCGCTGGAGGAGGGCAGCAGTGCGTGTCCCAGTGGGAAGACAGACCCGAAGAAGAGGAGTCCAGGTGCAGGAGTCCAGGTGAAGGTGACCTGGGTTGGAAGGTGACCCAGCCTCAGCATTTGGATGATTTGGATGGCCCTTACACGGATGGTGCCAGGTTGATGCCGTTCACCGTTCTGCCGTTGGTTTCAGCTTACTCATGGCTGTTCAAGCAGTTTAGGATGCACCCTCCCCATGCATTGACCTACTGAAGCCAAATCCAGCACCTCAGGGGTCCTAAGTTTCGATGCTTTTGCATTTTGGAACCTGCGCGAACCGCAGGTTCCACTTCCAGATGGGCGATGGTGGTGCTTTTGAGATGGGTGGAGGTCTTTCGATTGGGCTGTTCCTGATATCGATGCGGTTTTCAGTGTTCAGTGTTCCTCTTTTGGTTGAGCTTTATGAAACACTTGATTAGATGTCTGTGCTTGACTCTCTACATCTATCATTAGCCAACGCTTGATGTCCGGAAGTGACACTGTCACTGACACTCAATTTTGTGTTTCAGTGATTGTCGATAGGTTGAGAGGTGCCAGGGAAGGATTGGGTGCCAGGAGTTCAAAGCCAAGCAACTTCAAAGATGTTTCCCTGTTTTCCCATGGAGATTTGACAGTCAAAGTATTGAATAATTGCACCGCAGCATTTTGACCCTCAAGCGTTTGGATAATGAAGGTGATACCTGGTTTCCACCGGGGCATGCTGATGGCATGGTGGCATTTTACATTACCGCATAGCGATTGTCTCCTCCACCGTGGCATGCTGCACGTGGCACTCCGCCGTAGACCGTCCCTTTTTCAAGGAAGCTCAGCCTAAAGGGAGGACTGCTTTCACTGGTGTCTTCGAGAACCAATGACATTGTTTGTCTCCTGATGGTTTGGCTTGGTGCTGAACAGGAACATTGATCCTGCTGTTGGACTCAAACACAAAGGTCGAATCAATCTTCAACCCAGAAGATGCAAGACGGAGCAGTCAAGCAGCTTCGAGTTCAAGCTGCTCGAGCAGTCAACCTTGGTTGAAGCTTGAGGATCCATTTCAAGCTGAAGGGCTGATGGCCCTTCCTTTCAGATTACTGACAAAAGCAAGGATGTGATCTTCATTTTCAGGGGCAATCTGAGCACCCACAGTGAGGTGTTGGAATCAGAATGAACAGATTGCGCCAACAAGTGGTAGAATGCATTTCCAGCCTTGTTCTCTACTGGCCCTATTCTTGTGAAGGGTGACGCGAAGCAGTCTGGAATTTGCAGGAAAGAAACCATCCTTCCCTCCCTTTGGCAAGGAATGGAATGATGTGGCTGCGCGTTTGGAGGCCTTTTCTCACGACCCATCGGCCCTCTAAACACCCATCGTTTGGAGTTCCGAGTCCCGAGCCCTGTCCAAGTGGAACATCTCGCCCCTAAAAGGGGGACGATTCATGCATCGTCGCAAGTTCCGCGGAACCGCCATCGTTGGGCATTTTGGGCAGCATTGATCCTCTTGCATGGGCCAAGCTCGAAGTGCGCCAGCACGAATGCACGTTTACAAGTGTGGACGTATGACGTGAGAGTGGGGACATTGATAGAGTCGACTGAGTCATGAATCCAAAGTCTAGTCACTAGTCTGTACTTTTTCTGCTCTTTGACTTGACGCGGCGACGCGACTGGGCCAACAAAACACCTTTTCGCACTGATGAAGGACACGTTTCGGAACGAACGAAGAGTCAGCTGACGCTCGCTACCGACCATGTCATGTCTCCGCGCGGTGCGAGGTGCGGTGGTATGGTCCAGTGGTATGGTCCAGTTCGGTCGAAGCGAGTTGGGGGGAAACTCCAGTGACCACCCCGAAAGGATGCTCTGAAAAGCGTTCGGCTCAGAAAAGGGTGTGAGCCAGTTCGGTCCTTGACCCCAACCAAAAATGGACCAGGGATGGGTGATGGGTGGATGAATAAGATCGGATGGGTGGATGGGTTGATTCCATGGAAAAAGGATTCTGAACCGCACGGTGGCCTCGCTCGGTCCAAGCCCAAAAGCTCAGCATGCCTCCGCCGCTGTACGAGTGGGGCCCTCGGGGCGGAAAAGGCGGTGAGGGAAGAAAACCGGTGGACCGGCAGACCGGGCGCCCAGGCGGCGTACGTGTTCAGCATTCAACTGCCAAAAAGTATCCCCACCGCCCAGTCCACATGATCACCTCTCAACTCAAAGAGGTGGCCTTTAGGCATGGGAATCTCTATTAGTACTAGATGAAAAGATAGAGATTTGAGGGTAGATGAGATTTGATTCACTCTGATGAGATTTGAAGGTAGATAGTACTCTAGCCCCATTCCAAGTCTTAGAGTCTTCGAGCTTCCTTGGCCCAAAAGTTGTGGTACGATTTCGAAGATTGACAGGTTTCTACCAACCCTTAGATACAATTTAGAAAGGGTATATAAGGTATGATATGTTTTCATGCATTCAAGAGTTTGGCTTCCTGAGGAATCAAATCGACCCCCCTGTTTCATTTGCAACGGCTCGTTGCAACCGCTCCTGCCCTTTGAGGTATCAGCAGCGATGCGTGCAAGCCGCCAAAGGCATGGGACAGCTGTAGCCGAGCATGGCATTGAGCGAGACCAGCTCTAGCTGGCCAATGACATGGCCGTTTTTGGCAGCAATGCCCCGAAGTATAAAACTCACCACCACACTCCTTGAGAACTCACCAGTGGTGAGAATTCCTGCTTGCACTGACCGGTCTTCCGAATGAATCGACTTCTCTCATTCGAGCGGAAGATCTGTTCGGAACGGGCGCGCTTGCGCGCTTTGGGCGCTTCGGAGGGGAGAACTTGCTCGTGGTTCTCCCCACCAATAGTGGCAAGACACGGATTGCTGCAGAGTTGCGTGGAAGCCCAGGCAGATTGCTGCAGAGTGCCATGTGACGACTGTGAGGATGTCTGACTGCACTGCACTGCCCCTCCTGATTGATCTGCACTGCACTGGATT